TAGCAGGGGCTGCCCGTGAAGAACTACCAGAGCTCCACGGTGTAAGTATGGCCGTGGGCGCTGCTGGTGCCACTCTGTAGCATCCTCAGCGTCTCAGACCTCTTAAGTGAGCAGTGCCTCAAAGATGTAGTGGTGGGTGTGCTGGGGAGGAGCTGGATAGCTGCACTGAGCTGTGGGAAGGGATGAGGAGAGTGGCTGTGGCATTTCCACAGCCATGGGTCAGGGTCTTGTGGGCTCCTCATGTTGGTTATCCTGCAGCCCTGCTTTACTGCAGGGCCGTGGATTTGGGTGAAAATAGCCAGAGGAGACAAAGTCTCCTCTGTGGGAAGCTGCTGATCTCTGCACAAGCTGGAGAAGATGCTTTGATCTGCGTGTTTGGGAGCCACCACCCCAAAGGGGATCAGAAACGAGTCTGTCCCAGTGCAGCAATTAATGAAAGCCTTGAAACTGTGAGTGCAGTCAGACTTTGCACCTTGTTCAAGGGCTGAACCTTTCCTCCTGCCTGGGCACCTCATTTGTAAATAGGAAAATGAGCCTGGGTGGTGTGTGCCCTTCCTGGCTGTGGCGTCAGCCCCAGGGACAGCCACCTTCACTCTATGCAGGAGGGATGTTCTGCTGATTTGGTTTGTCTTCTCACACCTTGCAGCTATGGATCTACACTTACATCCCACTCAGTTGCACTGGTGCTGCCGTGTCACCTTCCCAGTGCAGTTCCACTGCTGTATGCGCTTACACTGGTGCAAGTGCAAACTGTGACTTACAGCAGGATGGCTATATTTGCATAAAAAGCCCTGAAAACCTGGCACAAAACCAAACCTTGGGCTTACTGAAAGTTTGTGCCCATTGACTGAGCTTCCTAGACACAAACACAACCCAGAGCACACTCGTAATGCAGAGTCGTTTTGCTCAGTGAAGTGGATTGCTGTCCTCCGTGGATGGAAGCACGTGCTCTCTGGGCTGCAGGTTTGGGAATTTTGTGGTTCAGAGCAAAAATGCAGCTGAAGGATGTAGCTCTTCTCTTTAAAGCTCAGAAGTAATACTCTGGTCTGCATCTTGCAGGGGGAAGATGTTTTGGGTGGCACACAAAGCTTTCTACCCTCCCCCTCATTTTGTACCCTCCCCTTCCATTGTGTGTGCTGGATGTCCAGTTAGGACAACTGGCTATTGGACTGGAGTCATGGTCCCTGGGGGGGGTTAAGGAGAGGCTGGATGTGGCACTGGGTGCCCTGGTCTGGCCCATGGGATGGGGTTGGGGCATGGGCTGGGCTTGATGATCTCAGAGGGCTTTTCCAGCCTCAACAGTTCTGTGATTCTGTGATTGAACAAGTGTTGGGCTGCTAATCATAAAACCCTAGAATTGGTTAGTTTGGAAAAGACCTTTAAGGTGATTAAGTCCAACTGTATTAACCCAGCATTGCCAGGCCCACCACTGAACCCTGTCCCTGAGCACGGCATCTGCACGGCTTTCAAATCCCTCCGGGTACGGCAACTCCACCACTGCCCTGGGCAGCCTGTGCTGCCAGTGCTTGACAACCCTTTCAGTGAAGCAATTTTTCCTAATGTCCAATTTAAACCTCCCCTGGTGCAACTTGAGGCCATTTCCTCTTGTCCTACTTGGGACAAGAGAGTGACCCCCACCTCGCTACCCCCTCCCGTCCAGGCTGAACAACCCCAGGTCTCCTCATCACACTTGTCCTCTGGACCCTTCCCCAGCTCCGTTGCCCTTCTCTGGACCCACTCCAGCACCTTGAGGTCTTTGTGACACCCCTGCACAGCCCCGAGACCCTTGGACTGTGGCCAGCATGAGAGGACGCTGCCATCTAGTGTGAATTCACCCAAGAGTTTTGTGTTCCACCAGTGTCCAAGCTTGCCTGGCCAGCCTAACCGGTGTCCCCATGTCCCCAGGACCGTGCTGCTGCTCAACCGCTCCGAGGTGCAGAGCGAGTTCCTCTCCATCGCGGAGAAGCTGAGCGCGGGCGAGCACCCGCAGCACGCCACGCTCGTCGTGCTCCTCGAGCAGCTCTACCAGGCCAACTTTGGCACCCTCTGCGACCTGGACAGCCTGCACCGCCTCCTGAAGGTAGGCTCCAGAGAGCTTCGTGGTGCCACGGTGCCCTTGGGAGCAGTTTCGTGCAGCAGGCTGATGGATTTCCTGACTGGAATAATACTTAATTGACAAAAAAAAAAAATTTGGGTAGCACTTCTTTTAGGAAAAATACATGCCTTTTCCTTCTCAGGTTAGACCTGAGGTCTAGCCTTTGGATTTCTGATGTGTGTGTGTGGAGGGGGTCATCTGCCTTTTACCCTTTTACTCCTTTTCCCATCTCTAAGCAGAGAGAGGAAGCCCTGAGGCTTGAAATGCAGCAAAAGTGTTCCTTTGACCAGAGAAGCACTTTGCTTTGGTGTTTTTAGGGCAGGAAGGGGCAAAAAATCAGAAGAAAAACCTTTAGGTGTTTTCAACCCACACCTTTTTCTCTGCAAAAATTTTGGAGGGCTTGCGAAGGGGGCAGGAGGTAGTGGAGGGGGGAGAGATACCCAGTTGGTGGTTAGATCCTATGG